CCAGAGATAATGAGAGCAGAGGTTTTCCTAATTTATTTACCAGATGTGGGCATCACTGGCTGGGCCTGCATTTATTGCCCAGCGGGCAGTTAGGAGTCTATAGAACTGGAGTCACATGTAGGCCAGACCAGGTAAGGATGGCAGTTTCCTTCCCTAAAGGGCATTAGTGAACCATTTGGGTTTTTCCCCCAACAATTGATGACAGATTCATGGTCATCATTAGACTCTTAATTCCAGATTTTTAAACATCGGATTCAGATTCCATCATTTGCCATGGCAGGATGTGAACCTGGGTCCCTAGATTAACAGTCCAGTGACAATACTGTTACATCATCACCTCCCCTTGATGCTATAATCAGAAATTTACTGCCTGAAAAGATTGTGCAAGCAGATTCAACACTTAATCAAAAAGTGCTTAAAAGTAAGTATTTAAAAGGAAATTTGAAAGCTCAGTGCCTAAACACTTATCTGAGAGGAGGCCCAGGAGGTGGATTTCGGGACACAAACAGCAGCTAGCACCATTGCAGAGCATCTATGAAGTTATTTCTTCCCTCTGAATTCCCTATTGGATTTGTAAGTGATCATCTTCTATTGATTGCTCCTCGTTCTGCTCTCTCCTGCAAGTGAGAACATCTTTTCTAAAGTGGCCTATCAAATCCTTTCAGAATTTTGAAGATGACTAGGAGATCCCTCGTTTGTCTCTTTGCTATCTGGAGGTTCTGTCACTTCATTAGGTGTCCCCTCTCCATTCTGGTATCATTTTAGTGGCACCTCAACCACAACGATGATGAGATATATTCTGCTCCCCCAGTCAATATAAAACTAATCCTAGAATTTCTACAGTGTGAAGCAGGCCCTTTGGCTCATCAAATCCATTCCAAACTTCTGAAGAGCATCCCACCCCATCCTTGTAACCTGGCATTTCCCATGGCTAACCCACCTCAGCTAGCATATTCCTGAACACAACGGGCAACTTAGCATAGCCAATCCACCTAACCTGCACACCTTTGGACTGTGGGAGGAAACCAGGGGAACCCACGCAGACAATGTACAAACTCCACACAGACAGTTGCCTGAGGGTGGAATCGGACCCAGGTCCCTGGTGCTGTGAGGCAGCAGTGCTAACTGCTAAGCCACCGTTATTGAATGGTGGAGCAGACTTATTGGGCCAAATGGCCTGATTTTGCTCCTGTAGCTTATGACTGCATGGTCTATAAGCAGGTTAATCAGTCATTTGTTGCAAGATGCCTGTGGGATATTGCTATTGCCAAACAGGCTACAGATCTAGAGATAACACAGTGTGGAGCTGGAGGAGCACAGCAGGTCAGGCAGCATCAGGGGAGCAGGAAAGGTGAAATTTCTGAAGAGGGGTCCGCACCCAAAACGTCAACTTTCCTGCTCCCTTGCTGCTGCCTGGCCTGCTGTGTTCCTCCAGCTTCATACTATGCTATCTCTGACTCCAGCATCGGCAGTTCTTACTATCTCTGAGGCTACAGATGTACATGCATTATGCTTCAGGTTGTGTCTTTTGAAGATGTTTCAGGGCTAAGTCTTTCAAATGTACTATGACTGCAGGTTTGATCATGCCTTCACCGCCTTTCCTGTTGACATGTATTTCATCTTTCACTCCATCACTTACAAAGAAGAAATTTTTTAAAAGATATTCTTTTTTGGGATGCGGGTGTCACTGGCAAGACTGGTACTTTTTGTCTGTCCCTAATTGCCATTGAATTTAGTAGCTTGGTAAACTGTTCCAAATGACAGTTAAGAATCTGCTATTTTACAATAGAACTGGAGTCACATGTAGGCCAGACTGACTAAGGAACGGAGATTTCTTTCCCTGAAAGGACATTAGTGAATCAGATGGATTTTGCAGCAGTTAATGAGAGTTTCAGCGTCACAATGGTTGCATTATGGCCATGGATCATGACATCAGGTCACTGATGGACATATTGAATTATTAATTACAATATGTGTCATTTTTAATGAGGGCTGCTACAGCCAAAAAATGACGGCAGTGTAAATTCAAAGAATGTCTGGCAGAGTCCTTTGTGGACTCATGGGATATCGCACGTGTCAGGGAAACTTCAAATAGAAAGACCAACCAGGAGGAGATAATGAAAGGCTGACTACCCAAATCCTTCACAGCAAGAGGCCATCCCCTGCAGACTTGTCTTCCATGAATATCCAAAAATACAGGGAAAATGGGAAATTCAACTCTTCTTTCTTTGTGGTTTTGTCATTTGACATCCTAATGTGTGAACTAGCATTCTGTGAAGGTTACAATTTGAAGACAGCCATTAAACACTCCTGCACTGTTGGCAAAGAAAGAGGTTTAAACTCTCACTCTGAGTGCTACCAGCCAGCCACTCTCAAAAGCAACCAAGTCAAAAGAATCTCAAGCAAACTGCAAAACCAAGCATCTGAAAAGTGACTGCCAATGTCAATGTTACTGGTATCATCCACTGTAAAGGCTTTCATTATCCATATATTATCTCCATACACAATTATAAACTATCTATTATCTACACTTCACAAGTGTCTCAGAGACTGATCTGATTTCTTTTAACTTCTGTCTTTTTTTTTGACTTACTGCTTATTCTAATCTGTGTGTGCTCTGTGTGTTGTGTTATTATTTCTTCTTGCATTTAGTAACTGATACTCTCTCTCTAAAGGATGTATCCTTTCAGGAAAGTCTGACTAAATTGGCTTCTTTTACAACACAAATTAATTGTGGGTCAGAGATGATGGTAGCAAATGGACCTTTTTTAAATGAACTGTGTCTAACCAACCGAGAGAGTGGACGAATAAAGAGGAGCCAATTCATTCCTCCTCATTCAAGACATCAATGATTTGAGGTATGCCTATCATAAACTATAACAAATTGTGGAACACAGCCCAGGGTCTGGTTGTAACAATTGGGACTGGTAGATTTCGTGAACTGAATTTAAATTTGAATTGAATTTGAACCCATGTCATTAGAGGGTTAGCTCAGCAACCTTAGAAACTTCCCTCTTCCAACATCCCCCTCTCTGCCCACATACACACACTCACACACACGACTATCTCATTCGTCATCCTTCAGGATGCTACATGTTTTCCTCACTCACAATCTACTGACACACAGTTCCAGCATGTGGTCAGGCCACCCCAAGTCACCCCATCCCCTAGTTAGCGCAGGATTTCTGAAAACAATTAGAGCACCAAGAATCACATTTATGTGATTATATTCAGGGGAGGTGATGACCTGGTGGTATTGTCGCTGCACAGCTAATCCAGAGACCCAGGTAATGTTCTAGGGACCTGGGTTCACTAATATCCTTTAGGGCATCCTTACCTGGTCTGGCTTACATGTGGCTCCAGGCCCACAGCAATGTGTTTGATTCTCAGCTGCCTTGTGGGCAATTAGGAAAAGGCAATAAATGCTGGCCCAGCTAGTGATGCCCTCATCCTGTGAATGAATAAAAGAAGTAGCACCTTTCACAGCCTTGGCACATCACACAATGAAGTGCTTTCAAAGTGCTACAATGAAGGAGAGGCAACAGCAAGGGTCACTGGAATCATAACGTTAATTCTTTTCACAGATGCGACCAGACCTGCTGAATTTCTCCAGCGGTTTCTGTTTTTCTTGGTTGAAGGCAGCAGCCGCGTTGCACACAACAAAATCCCACAAGCTGTAATGAGGTGCTGGCCTGAGATTGTCGACTGACGAATAAATATTGGCCATGAGAGTGGGGAGGGGAAGAACACTCCTGCTCGGCTTTACTCTCACAGGCGAGGGGCAGACAGGGTTTTGGGTGGGGGGCGAGGGATATTCCATCTGAAATTTAGCACCTCTGATAGCAAGTTCCAGTACAGATTGAATCCTGTGCTCAGGTTTCTGGATTGGAGGCTTTATGCGCTGAAGCTTTTTATTCAGAGCTGATCAGAGAGTGCTACTAACTGAGCCACAGCTGACACTGGCAATAGAGCTGTCCTCTGACAGATTCAGCCCAGCTTTAAGGGGATCATTCTCTGGACTCTTGATGTAATTTTGCCACTAACATGCTCTCTATGGTAACGGGCTGGGGGTGGCGGGGTTTGCTGAGGGATGGGAGAGGGGTGGGGGGAGACCTTTCAGTCAGCTCCAGGGCATCTGGACGGAGTACTAAACCACCGCAGATCCCTGACTGACGACTGTCACACCGGCGCAAGACACTTAACTACAGCAATTCTGTCTTGCATTGATTTTCAGTGGGTGGATGAAGGAACAGTAATACAGACACACACATGCACACAGCAGCAAAGCACTCCTATCAGCATGGGCGAAAAGATTCATAATTACCTCACGAGTGACGTGCTTTCATCAGCAGCTGGGAATCTTGTTAAACACATTCATTCTCCTCCCCTTCAGAACTCCACTCTGCCATCTGCAGAATAGGACAGCAGCAGAGACTCCGAGCTAGCCAGCTACTGATAGCTCACACCGACAAACAGATACACACACAGGCACACAGAACTTACACAGAGATATATTTACACAGAACTGCACATGTAGACGCATATACATACACACAGATACAAATATACAGAACTGCACACATATATAAGTACACCAGATACTTACAGAACAGCCCACATAGACATATATACACACACAGACATATACAGATTTATACACACACACACAGTTTACACTTATATGTGTACACTCACAGCATACTCACACATACTCACACACATACACCACAGCGCACACACACCAGACGCACACATACAAACATTCTGTATCTCTCAAGAGTAAGTCTCCCACATGCTCCCCCAACACGGCGTCCCTACCACGAGGAGGCTCGACTGATCACCAGTTTGGAATATACCTCCTGTACCAAGACTTGGTGGGAATAGGAAAGAGGCGAGGAGAGGTGGTGGTGCGGGAGGGAGGGAGGGAGCAGGAAGGAGGAGGGCTCATTGGCTTCAAGATACTGTGCGAGAGAGCCACTGTGATCAATGTTAAAGGCGGATCGTCCAGAGTGCCTGAGCTGTCGTTTCTGTCTTTCATCGCGAGGGAACTTCTGGATGAGAAATGTTGCCTTACTGAAGTAAGGGGAGAGACAGAGAGAGACGCACTGACAATTAAGGAAAAGCTGAGGATGTTATTGCTGCTACTCTGCAGGTAGGTGGGGCTTGATCTACTCATATAAAAAGGAGCAATTGCTTTTCTGGAGAATGGAAACTTTGAGTCAGCATGCATTATTTTGCGTGTGTGTGTGGTACTTTATGTTTGATCTGCAGTGGAGCTGGAGCACTTTGTTGCTACCTCTGTTCCATAGTCACATTGAGATTCGATAAGGGAGCGCCTTGCGTTCTGAATCCAGGGGATTTGGTTTGCTAGAACCTCTTGGATTTAGGCTGAGCTTTCAGATTGATTCCTGTCCCAGCACGGGCTACACATTTCACAAGCAATGTATGTGTGCGCAGACGTGTGCGGGGAAAGTGCTTGTGTTTTATTGTGTTTGTGCACTGAATTTTTTGCTCTGCTCCACCCTCGGACAGAATGAGCTGCCCTCTCTGACTTGCCATGTGTTCCAGCCTTCATTATGGCCGACAGCAGGACCTCAATATTAAAATAATCACTTCCCACTAACTTTTTTTCACCCTCCAACCACCTCTGAAAATGTAGTGGAAGCAGATCCCATGGTAGTAACTTTCCAAAGGGAATTGGATACACACTTGGAACAGGGAAGGACATAATTTGCAGGTCCACTGAGAAAGGACAGGGGGGCTGTTGTTGGAACTAATTTATCAGCCTGCTAAATCAAGGAGCCAGTACAGGCATAATGGGGCAAATGGCCTCCTTGCGTTCTCTATGATCTAGTAGTTAGCCGAAAGCTTCAGTCAGAAGTTCGTGGAACCGATGTTTCCCGCGCCTATCTCAATAATACAGCCTGTAATAAAGGATGAACTTGCATTTATATAGCGCCTTCCTTGACCTCAGGACATTCCCCCCAATGTATTTGATGAAGTAGCTTATGGAATTTGGTCTCTGTTGTAATGCTAGAAATGCAAAGTCAATTCAGCTGTGGCAAGATCCCACAAACATTGGTGGAAAGTGTGACCACTATGTCATTGGAGTGTCTCTCTGCCTGTTGGCAGAGAATGCCAGTGGGGGGTGCCAGTAGGTAATGTTGCAGGGAGTGTCTTGCTGTGTCAGTGAAGAATGTTGGAGGAAATGTCTCCCCAGGTCAGCTGGGAGCTGTCAGCGAGTGTCAATGGGCAGTGCCAATAGACAATGTGGATGGTGGGACTGTTTCCCTCATGCATGGGAAGTGTTGGTGGGGATTGTTAGAGGTGGTGCAAGTTACTCCCTGGAGTGAGAGTCCCTGGGGATTGTGAGTGAGGAATATTGATGTCTATAGATAGGGAGCCTGGATGGGGAGTGTTGCTTTGTAGGTTAGCTGTGCTGGCCACTGTAAGTGGGAAATGTCACTGATGAGTGCTGCTCCCTGCCAGTAGACAATGTTGGCAGTGTGTGCCAATTGGGGGAGCGTCAGTGGGCAGTGCCGTTGTACATTGGTGGAGTGTGTCGCACCCTGTTGGTGAGGATCGTCTGTGGGGAGTATCTGTGGGCATGTCTCCTGCTCTGTGCATGAGTCAGAAATTTCAACAGGGCTAGCCCATGTTTTTAGTTTGCACTGCCTTTGGTTGAGGCTGTTAAGCCATGGAATCAAGACCCTACTCCTCCAACCTCTTCTTCACCTCATCCAGTGGCCAGAGTGAACATTAAATAATCCTGGGCAGCTTTGTGCAATGTTAAATAAAAATTGCAAGCTTATTGAGTGAGGCGTAAGCAAATATGTTTTAGTCCCACACATAGACAGACAGACAGAGAAACACACACACACAAACACACACACATATATATATAGACATGCATGCGCACACACACACACAATTTGATATGCATAGCTTATTCAATAAAGGAATGCCTTAAAAGGTTCTCTGTGCTTTGATATCTTTCATTTGCATTACAGTCGCTGCTTTTCACAAGTAATTCATATCGTGAGCTCTTTAAATTGTTTAATATGATAAGGAATATTAAAAATTCCAGACCACACAATGTTTTCTTTCCCATCATACTTGTTAGTATTCTGCTTAAATCCACATTGTGTGCGTTTCCTCCTGAGACCAGTATACATTTTTAGGAGATGGTGTTTATGGGGTTAACCATGCAGTTGGTGGTTCTCCGGTTAGCGCTTACAGGATGATTGGTGCAAAAGTTTTAGCAGAAACCCTGTGAAGAATCTGGGCAAATCTGTTGGAATCTAACTCCAGGAGTTTCCAAGGCATCACCACTCTCAGGCTAGTTTGCTGCAACACCTTCTCTCTCCCACACATTGGTCGCTCGATGGGGTTCAGGCCCCCTGGGTCAGAAATGTCAGCTTGAACATATTGAAGTTTCTGATAAGTTGATGGCAACGCTTTTAAGATCCGAGTCTGCCAAAACTAAACTGAAGCTTTGGAGGGCCATCATGGTCTGCATTATTCCAATATTACCTCTGACAGAAAGGAAAGTGTGCGAACCAGAATAACAAGCTGGAGGCTTGAGTGGAGCCTAAGCACTGTCCTGGACCTGTCAGTTTGAATAGCCTATTTCTGTGCTGTACAGTCTGCCTAGCTCCTTGGCTATTGGAGAACTGGCACAATGCAATTGAATCCTCACACCAAAGGTAACTCCTGTTAGAAATCCCTCTGGAGGTTCCAGCCTCTTTTCCATTAATACAATGATGGCTCACACTATACTGTATGCTGGAGCTACTGTACTGCTTTTGTTAACTAACAAGAAAGCTTGAATATTGTTCAGATCTGCGTCTTGTACTGCATAAATTGGCCTGTGATGCAGATTTTCAAGCAAGGTTCTCAGACTAAAGGGGTTAAACTATCAGACTCAGGCTTAAGCATCACTCCAATTAGATACCATGATTAAAGGAGGTGGGTAGATAGGAAAACAACTATGTCCTTCCCCCAGTGGAAAGACTTCAGAACAAAGACTCTATTTCTTCACACAAAGGGGAGTATAAATGCGTAATAACAGATTTTTAAAAATCTGTTGAGGCCCAATTTAAGGTGGAGGTGAGTGGGACTAGTGGTTGGCATCATCTGAAATGGTCAAAACTAGCATTGACAGCATTTTGTTTTGTTAGGCAAGGGTTACGGAATTGGAGTGGGCAGAAGGAGTTAAGACAAAGTTTGGAAATCATGGAATTCGATGGGAATCAAGAACTGGTATGGCCAACATCAGTCTCTAGTAACGTGAATGAACAATGTGTGTGGAGGGCTGGGGAGAGGGTGGCAAGGCCACACCGCTTTTTAATAATACGGGGCAGCCCTTGCACTCAGCACACATTTCCATGACTGTGTTGTGCATCTCTCTGCTGTTGGAAGATATATTTAGCGTGCTTTCTTTTCACAGCCTGGATTGGAAGTTCAACAGGGGCACTAGTGTCTGACAGATTGAAATCACAGATGCACAGAAGATGAGACAACAAGGTGCAGGGCTGGATGAACACAGCAGGCCAAGCAGCA